TGAAGCAGAAGGAGGAAGAGATGAAGAAGAAGGAGGAAGAGATGAAGAAGAAGCACAGAGAGGAGCTGCAAACACTGCGAGAGCAGGCTGATCAGGAAAGGAAGCAGAGAGTTCAGCTGAAGAAAGAAATGGATGAATGTATGGAGAGGGAACGTGAGAAGAAGAAGAAAGAACGTGAGGACGAGGACAAGAGACGAAAAAAACAGGAAGAAGCTCAGAGACAAGCGTGGAGACAAAAACTAGAAGCTTCAGAACAAAAAGTTCAGTCAGAAAAAGCCCAAAGAGAAAATGTTGAGAAGAAGCTGGAGCAGTGCCGACGGGAGATGAAGAGAGATCGAGACGTTTGGGACAAAGAGAAGGATCAGATCTGGGAACGAGTCCACCAGGACATGAAACAGAACCTGGAGGACCTTAAAAAGAACCTGGATGAGGAGAAGAGCAGCCACAGGAAGCTCCAGGAGGAGTACAACTGGAAGAGGAAGAAGTGGATTTATCCGTGGATCGTCGTGTTGCCAGTTTTAGTGCTTCTGTTGTTTCATGTTCTCACAACACAAAGATGGTGGTAGAGCCATGAACATCTCCCTGTAGACACTTGAGACTCATGAGTCCATGCAGTCTCAGAGGGACGGACCCATCCAGACCACAGACCTGGTTTTCTGGTTCATCTTCAACTGAACAGAGGAATCACATTTTATATGAAGAGACAAAGAATAAACTGACTTTTAGAAAAAAGGAACTGTCTCACTATCCATATTAAGAAACTATTGATGTATTTGTATTCATTTAACTAAATGTGCCTTAAGATGATTTGTCCGCTCCATTTGTAAAACCCAGAGCTGAGCTTGACTTTGCTGAGCCACAGTTTTCATAGAAGGAACCCTGTGGTTGACCCTCGGGTGGTGCGACCAGAAGCGTACAGAGACAGGACAGCCTGGATGGCCACTGTAGTGTCCAACGTCCCTCAGAGAAGTCCACATCCTGCCCTCAGAGACTCTGAACTTACTGTATGGTAATTATACCCCCGTGCTCATTACCCTCCTTCCTGAGAAAGACAGACTCTGCATCTCCAAAAAGTCTGTATCAAAAGGACATAATTTTGTCATACCCCTGTACAACAATGGTCTTGAAGACAGTATTGTACCAGCAACCCCACCAGCAGTGGCAGTGGGTCCATTAGACAGAGCTCCAAACAGACCACCGGTTGTTTACCTGTGTAAAAACCCCAAACTTACATCTGTGAAGAAATGGAGTCATTCTGAAAACAGTCATTGTTTCCCTCTAAACTTTGAGAGGAGGCGTTATCTATCCATCCATCCATTATCTTTACCCGTTTGTTCCATTTTGGGTCACGGGGGTCGCTGGTGCCCATGTCCAGCAATCACTGTGCGAGGGGCGGGGTACACCCTGGACGGGTCGCAAGTCCATCACAGGGCCATTCGTTATCTAATAAAACTTAATTTATGCAGCTTGATTTACACCCACTGTTGGAAAGTTGCATCGATTGGATACAAAATGCACAGGCAACACCCCTTCTACAGTCAGCCGACATCGAAGGGGGAGTGAGAGCTGGCGTTGGCTGAGTCGTTGGCTGAGTGGTTGGCTGGGTCGTTGGCTGGGTCGTTGGTTGGCTGGGTCGTTGGCTGAGTGGTTGGCTGGGTCGTTGGCTGAGTGGTTGGCTGAGTGGTTGGCTGGGT